GAGTTGAAGTCCACAAGTTTTAAAGTTGCCAAGTTTGGGGACCCCTGAGCTAAAGAATGTTGGCTGGCCAGGCATAGAAGAGGGCCTTCACTGCTGTAACGCCTGCTCTTTGGAACATCTTCCCTTCAGAAATTAGAGTGGCCCTAACCCCCAAAACTCTAAAAACTTGGTTATGTGTTGGAATCTAGGGTTCTGAATGTATTAAGGGCCCCGTCTATTGGTTCTACTGTTAAATTGGATGCTGCAGATATCTATTTTGTACTGTTTTTATTGGTTTTAAATGTCTGTGGTGGCGCAGTAGTTAGAATGCAGTATTGCAGGCTGACTCTGCCCACTGCCAGGAGTTCGATCCTGATGGGTTCAAGGTTGACTTAGCCTTCCATCCTTCCGAGGTCAGTAAAATGAGGACCCAGATTGCTGGGGGGGGGGGGGGGCAAGAGGCTGACTCTGTAAACCCACTTAGAGAGGGCTGTGAGCTACTATGAAGCAGTACATAAGTCTAAGGTATTGCTATTGCTATTTAAAATTATAAGTCGTACAGTGTCATCCGGTTGAGATGGGAGCGGAGGTACAGAAATTAAACAAATAAGGGATTTGCACACTGTAAAAAGAGACTCAAGGAAAGGAGGGTGGAAATGAAGGCAGGGATAAAAGGGAAAAAAAACTGTTGCTGCAATTGGTGTGTAAGCTATAGGAACCTCATTACAGAAAAATGAGAATATTTTTGTGCATATAATTATGCATGCCTGTTTGTCTACTTTATTATGTTTCAGCTTGCAGGACTGGACACAGGGCTGGACACATTTCCCTTGCCCACACCCTTTCTTTGTTCTCTGATTATGGAAGTGTGATTTTTTTTTTTTTTTTTACAAATAGGGATAGGTGGAATAAATTTAGCACAGTATGTTGGCTTTCTCTTTGGAGTAAATAAATAGGTTGTCTTTCTATCCCTGAAGTTATATGTACGTTTTTAAATTCATAATTTGTGGTTAGAATGTGGGTTAGAGTTCCCAACCTCCTATCTTCTCCAAGGCTGCCTTTTGATTTATACTCTCCAACAATAGCTAAGATGCTGAAGGATTTTCAGTTGTATTTCTTTTATAGAAAAGGAGGCGCCCGTTTCATTCTAGTTCGTGTCCAAACTCTTTGATAAGTTTAAAGAGAGAAAAAGCAAAGAAGTTTGCCACAGGCGTGTACCAACTATCTGAGCAGATGAGAAAGTGGGGGAGGAAAAGAAAGAAAATTGAAAAGAGAAAGAGAAAGGGTCATTTTGCAAGAATTGAATGTTCCAAGGAGGAAGAACATTCAACATTGGGCAAAAGATTTTGGCTACACCTAAGTTTCACCTGTTTGAGACTGTATATCTCGTCACTACTGAGTTGAGGGTTGAATCATCACAAACGCCAGTGAATAATCTTCCCTCCCACAGTTGTGTATCTTTATACCTCTGGGTACTGGTCATCACAGACTGGCCCTTTGACTTTACATGCAGTTCCTGGCAGGGGAACGTTTAAATCTCTGTAAAGGTCCTGTGACTGCATGTTGATTTACATAAATCCATCATTGTGTGTGCTCCAGACAATGATGTCAAGATGGAAATGTTCTGTTTCTAAAAATGCAATTTTTCCTAACATTAACTGATAAGCTAATGAACTGATGTTGAAGTAGCAATTTCAAATTGTGATTTCCAGCTTTTTTTAAAAAACAAAAAACCCAACAAACATCTGCTGGCTGCATTCATGAAGGATTCAGTGAAACGGCATTAATAATGCAGGAACGAGCAGCCTATATCTATCTGAGCATTTTGTTTCACGTCTCCCACAATGCATTGCTGTGGATAGTGCTTGGGGAAACCAATGGGATTGAAGTTCAAGCATCTGGACAGTTCCAGTTTTTCTGCTGTTTGTGTTCAGCATTCATTCATATATGCAGAATTCACATGTTTTGTGCACAGAGGAATTTGGTCATTTAAACTTGCCATAGTAAGACTGTCAAGATGTCTGCCTCTTTTTTTTCTTCACATCCTGGACATAAACTGTTTCAACTCCTACCCTCAAAACGAGGCTATAGAGCCCAGCACACCAGAACAACTAGACACAAGGACAGTTTTTCGTTGAATGCCATCACTCTGCTAAACAAATAATTCCCACAACACTGTGAAATTATTTACTAAGACTATATTATTCTCATCCTTCCTAGTATCTACCTCTTCCCACTTTTGACTATAACCGCGTTGCTTGTATCTTTACAGTTTATATTGTTTTATTTGTTTCCTAGTATGATTTGATTGCTTATTGTACCCTATGACTATTATTAAGTGTTGTACCTTATGATTCTTGACTCTTGATGAATGTATCTTTTCTTTTATGTACACTGAGAGCATTTGCACCAAATTCCTTGTGTGCCCAATCACACTTGGCCAATAAAGAATTCTATTCTATTCTATTCTATTCTATTCTATTCTATTCTATTCTATTCTATTCTATTCTAATTTTTTTGGGAAGTTGTAACTGACTTGTGGCTTTCTGTCTAACAGGCTGAGAGCAAAGTGTGACTTTCCACAAAGCATCATATATGCTGAAGCTCTTGGACATTAGAAGGTAAGTTTTCTCCGTAACACTGAAGATGTGAAAAGCACACAGCTGCTGGAACTCTCCAAAAAGAAAACGACAGATATACAAATTTTATGGATAAAAGCTTTTTTTTAAAAAAAGAAAATAACAGAATCTGTGTTTATTGTCCTCCATATTTCCCGCTCCTGTAAGCCTCAATAATCAAAAACAGTTATGAGTAAGATCTGTATAAAATAATGAAACAAATCAATCACAACAATTTTTAAGTTTCATTGCTTTGCATAGCACTTTTGATAGATTCTACTGCATTAGTCTTCTCTAGAAGCCTCAACCATTGTATTTGCATAACCTATTAGGCCATGGTTAAAGTGCTTGCATGATGAATTTGCTCCAAATTACATACCAAACTGGCTCGGAATGTAATTTGACTATGTCCTTTTAATCAGTACAGTTCTTGTGAGGTTTGTTTCTCAAAAATACTTCTAAAATCTACCATGGGGTGATTATAGCCAGAGCCTTTGCATGTGAGATGGGAATGCTGGTTGTTCTATCTTTGTATTTTCACAACAAAGTCAATGTGTGATAGTACAGCAGTTGCAACAGAATAATAAGAGGTAGAAGCAGAAAAGCAGCTTTGCCACAAATCTTGTTCCTTGTTTTGTGTTCCTGGAGGAATAATGGCTGCTTAATCATAAATTAACCACTAATGTGGGTTTGGATAACATGCTGCTCTGTGTGATTGACATAAGATAATAATCAAGCAATCTGTTATTACAGATAAGGAGTTAAGATGGTCCTTAACCATACTCTATATTTAGGCAGTGTGCTGAGCTAATCTGCAGGCTACTTTATTTTGTCATCTGAACTGGATCAATGTCTCTGTCTAATTTTGCTTTTTACAACCCTCCAGATAATTTCAAAGAAGCATATTGTGCAATCAGAATAAATTACCGAGGGAGAAACCAGAGCTCTCAAATGTCTGCGATTGTGTGAGATTGGCAGAGTTCAAGGCTTGAAACATTGCGTGTGTTTGCTTTTTTGGCATAATATCTAGGGACTTTTAAGGCTGAGCTATAAAGTGTTCCTGGAACTTGTTTCTTTTTCTTTTTCTGTGGTCCCCCCCCCCATTTTTGTTTAAAAAAAAAACACTAAAAACTGAGTGCGGTTTTATAAGTTGGAAGTGAGTCTGTCAAATAGAATGGATTGGCTTGATGTGAGAACTCAAAGAGATGTTGTGTGAGAAATGGGAAGAAGTATGATTTCAATTGATTAATGTGACAAGCCTTTAATTACTTCTTTTCTGGAATTAATCCAAAATTAATAAATGATTTGTCATTCTGCACTTACCACTTGCGGAGAACTCTGACTCAGATATTTTATTCTGTAGTGTTTGTTCTTCCCTGCCTTCTACTACAATTTCCTTAATTTGGAATTCCAAGCTGGATTGTCAAATCCTAGTAGTGTTACTCAATCTTGGCAACTTAAAGATGTGTGTGGACTTCCAGAATTTCCTAGCCAGCATGCTGGCTTTAGTGCAAACTTAGGAACATTTTGAATTGGGGGGAAGTACATGAGAAATCACAGCTGCCAGTTCTTTAGCTGTCTTGGCCTTCATCATCTTCCCAAAAACCCAGGATGTTGTAATGTATCAGCAGAGTATATGTGCTGATGTGAGCAGTGTGCACTTTTGCAATTGACAGAGGGAAATGTTGACAATGCCCAGATTTTCTAAGTGTCATCTGAGATTTTTGGATGTGGCACTCAGTGTGCTGATAATCAGGGGTGGGCTTCAAAACTATCAGCAAAAAAATCCCCCGAGCCTCAGTGGCATAGTGGTTAGATTGTAGTACTGCAAGCTACTTCTGCAGACAGCCAGCTGCCTGCAATTTGGCAGATCGAATCTCACCAGGCTCAAGGTTGACTCGGCCTTCCATCCTTCTGAGGTGGGTAAAATGAGAACCCAAAATTGTTGGGGGCAATACGCTGACTCTATAAACCGCTTAGAGAGACCTGTGAAGCAGTATAAAGTGGTATATAAGTCTAAGTGCTATTGCTAACTGGTTCTCTGCCCGGTTGCTGGGTGAGCATTACCATGGTGGGCGTGGCCTAGTTGGCCTCCTGCAGGGGGGCTGTTTTCACTCTCCCTGAGCTCCAGAGGTTTTCCTCAAGCCTCCGGGAGGGCAAAAACGGCCTTGCCCGGGCTCTGGAGCTTCCGGGAGGCCTGTTTTTTGCCTTGCCCGAGCCTCCGCATGGACCCTGCACTTACCTGGCATCAAAATGGGCCACGTGGGGACTCCTGGGAGGGGAGGGCGGGGCCAACCAGAGGTGGGATTTGCCGGTTCACCAAACCAGCCATAAAACTAGCTACAGGTTCGCCCGAACTGGGGCGAACCCATAGCAGCCCACCCCTGCTGATAACCCCTGGGACCATCACAGCCAACTTATGCAATAATTGTTCAATTTTGGTTTTCAGACCTTGATACTTTATGATCTTCTCCAATTCTTTGTTTTCTGTTCTACTATCTCCTGGTATTACCACATCAGTCCATACTTTCTTCTTTTCTACCTCAGTTATATCTGGATTATAATCCTACAGTATTTTGACCTTCTCATTTTTTTATTTTATTTATTTTTTTATTTTGTCAAACAATTATTAGATAACAGGTATAAGTATAAACATGCTTATAAATACATGAAATGGATACGAATAAGAAAAAAAAGAAACAATAGGACAGGGACGGTAGGCACGTTTTGGTGCGCTTATGCACGCCCCCTACAGACCTCTTAGGAAAGGGGTGAGGTCAATAGTAGACAGTCTAATGTTGAAGATTTGGGGGTTTGAGGAAGAAACCACAGAGTCCGGTAGAGTATTCCAGACATTGACCACTCTGTTGCTGAAGTCGTATTTCCTGCAATCAAGTTTGGTACGGTTTATCTTTAGTTTGTATCTATTTTGTGCTCTTGTATTGTTTTGGTTGAAGCTGAAGTATTAATTGATAGGTAGGACATTGCAATATATAATTTTATATACTATACTGAGATCAAACCGAAGGCGGTGTAGTTCTAGGTTGTCTAGGTCTAAAATTTCAAATCTGGTGGCATAAGGTATTCTGCTACGAGTAGAGGAGTAGAGGATTCTTCTCGTAAAATATTTCTGGACTTTCTCAATTGTATTAATATCAGATATGAAATGCGGGTTCCAGACTGATGAGCTGTATTCAAGTATTGGTCTAGCAAATGTTTTATATGCTCTAGTTAGTAGAGTGATATTACCGGAGAAAAAGCTACGCAGGATTAGGTTAACAACTCTTAATGCCTTTTTGGCTATGTAGTTACAGTGGGCTCTAACACTTAGATCATTTGAGATGAGTACTCCAAGGTCCTTGACAAAGTTTTTGTCATCAACAAGGCCTTGACTATTCAGCTTGTATTTTATTTAACCATATGTTCCCACTAATTTTTCATTAATGGCACATGACAATTTTTACAGCTTTTCCAATGAATCTGCTTGTGCAATCTTCATGCATAAATTAAGTATGTCATTAAGTTCTTCTTTGCACAATCTTTGATGATTTTTCAGTTCTGGCCTTGATTGCATTCGTTTGGATAGCTTGTTCTTATGCAGCCAAAATCAAGCTATCTGTTTGTTTTTAATGTTCCAGCTGTAAGCAAGATTTTATCTTTATCCACTTTCCCCTCGATGTTTTGTAGAAATTGACCATGTGATGCTTTTCCTTGCCAACATTCTGTTTGTGCTTTTATTACATTATTTTGATATTTACTTTTCGTTCGCTGTAGACCAAGTTCCAATTTTTAACTTGAATCAGTCCTTGTCTTGGCTATCCTTTACATAATCAGCCAATACTCGCTTTTCTTCTTTGATACTTCATTTGACTTGAAGTAAACCTCTTGCCTCCAGTTCTGCAGAGCATGTATACAGGTAGTCCTCAACTTACAACAGTTTGTTTATTAACTGTTCAAAGTTATAGCAGCACTGAGTTATAACGAGTTGCGGGAAGAAATATCCATCTGGTTCAGTTCCAAGCTGGGAGAAAAACACTGGAAACATGGAGGCTGATTGGAAATATGGTTAATTGATGAAGCAGACACATGGGTTTGTGGTTCTGGGCAGCTGACAAAATGGAGTTAAGAGTGGGGGTTTTTATACCCTCTTTGGGCTTTGCACTTGAGCTTCCAGTTCCTGTGCAAGGACATGTATTTTATTGGCTGTTGTCAGATGCTTATGGGGCCATGTAGGGGTTATATAGGGGTCATAGTTGGCCTCTACATAAGGTGTTTGTCTGAGCTAATTTGCCAACCTTTGGTTTGTTGCTTATTTGAAGCAACAAGTGAAGTTTGGACTGCTCTGGGATGGTGCAATGAAGGGACTTGTGTTCTGAAAGGGTGTTGGGCAGTTCCTATTGTAGCTTTATGGCTTTCATTCTGTTTTGGCTCTTGGGTGAGAGTGTTCGTTTATGAATAGAGCTATCTAGATACTCATCTTTCAATAAGCTCTTTATCTTTTAAGTGCTGACATCTGTCGTGGGCTATTAAGGAAAGGTGGAGGCTGGTTTCTGCCTCTAAAAAACATGTTTCTCCATTTCTCATTTAGGGAAATATAATATTCTGCCTTTTTAATATTTCCCTAAATATTTCATTCTCCTGGGAGGCGCTGACTTTCTACAGAGTCCTTTCCGAAAAACCTGGGATAGGCCAACGTTGTTATTTGATAGTGGTGTTAAAGATATCCTTGGAGGATAAAAGTTCCAATGTAAAAGTTACTCATTCCAAGAAAATTGCCTTTTGTAATTGTCAATGCTGAATATATTCAAGAGGTGGTCCAGTTGTTTGGGAGTTGCACCCAAAATACCTATTATTAGTAGGCATTATCTTTGCTTTCTTTTGCCACATTTTTGCAGGCCTTTGTATTTTGTTATCTTCTCCAGTTCTTTCTCTTCTCTTCTGCTGTCTTCAGGTATTTTTTTGGTCTTTCTTATTGACAAGTGTTAAGTCTGGGATGTTTTATTGCACACATTTTATTTTTAATGCCTTTGACTTATTATTGACACCTGGTGATTGCCTGGACTAGTCCCTGCAGTATTCTTGGCAAAGTTTTTTGGAAGTGTGGTTTGCCATTGCTTACTTTCTGGGGCTGAGAGCGGGTGACTGGTCCAAGGGCTTTGTGCCTAAGGTGGGACCAGAACTCACAGTCTCCCGGTTTCTAGTTTGATGCCTTAACCACTACACCAAACTGGCTAAATTATATAACCCTATTGTTATTAAACTAATAATAGCCTTAAAATGAATACTGTGCAAAATTTAAATATGATTCATTAAGATGAAAAGTAGGTTAGCTTGTTTTCCGACCTACTCTGATTTTTCTGTACTTCTGTTATGATTGGAAATAGATTTGATTTTAACACATGGATTTTAATATTTTTGCAACAGATCTGCTTGTCTCTTTCTTCCTTAAAGTGAATTTTTAGACAGGACCCTAAGGATAGTATGACACATTGTTAGTGCTGTAGGGTACCTCATTTGCACATCCATAACATTTTTCCATGTTCTGTTTCAAACAATGTCATTGTTTGGGCATTTGTATTCTTCCGATGTTTTCTTTATCATCTTGCTGGATGAGATGTTTTTAAGAATTAAAAGAATTAAAAGCTTTGGCATTATTTGTGAATTGCAGTCAACCTAGTATGGCTAATACCTTCCCAGTGATTTTTGTTTTACAATAATGGAGAGAAATTTCAGAAGGGAAAGGCTGAAGAGGAAAAGATTAAATCTTATTCTTGTTGGAACCTATGCAAATTGTCAAATTAAAAAAAAAGAAAATCCCATATTTAAAATGCAAATGGCATGCATTGCATGGTTATGCCCCTTTCTTCAGTTTTATTGACAACTTGGAAAAAGGGAGAAGAAGGTATGCTTATTAAAATTGCAGTTGACACAAATCCAGTAGAATAGCTAATATTTTAAAAATAAAATCCTAGCAAAATCTTGATAAATGAGCTGAAAACACCAGAACGCATTTTTAAGACTTCATTTCTTTCTTAAAACAAAAGAAAGCAAATGTGTAAGTATAAAATGGAGAAAGAAATATTCTGAGTTGGTGGTACTTGTAAAAAAAAGTTATTCCTACAATAGTTAATTATAAACTGCACGAGTCAGCAGTGTGAAGTAGCTGCGAAAATAAAGATTTTCAGCTGCATGAATGGAAGTACAGTATAATTTAGAAATTATAGGAATTAATTGCACTACTTTATTTTGGATTAGTGTGCCTTCATCTGCTGAATCATGTCCAGTTCTGGATATCACATTTTAAGAAGGATTCAGGATTTTAGAAAAGACAAAAGGTATCATTAAGGAACTAGAAGCTAAAACTGTAAAGAGAACTTATAGAACCTAAGGATGATTAATTTGGAAAAGAAAGGGCTAAGAGCAGAGATGATAGTATTCTTTGATTATCTGAAAAGATGTCACCCAGAAGAAGGCCAAGACCTATTCTTTTAGTTCCAGAAGAACTAATTTTAGAAGTTGAAGGTGAAAAGGAAATTTTCTTACAATAAGAATAGTTCCACTGTGGAACCAGTTTCTACAAATGTGATGGATTTCCCTTCATTAGACATGTTCAAGCACAATATGGAATTACTTTAATTTGGATTCCTATACTGAGATGTGGGGTGAATCCAGTGGCTTAAATACTCCTCACTATGGTTCTGTATTCAGGTGACTACCTATGATCTAGTTTAGAAGCCATGCAAGAGTCCAATGAGCATCATGTAAACAGGGGTACAAATCATTGTTGAAGAACATAGATGTTGCTTAAAAAAATATTTAACCTGGCATGATGGCACGACTTTCAAACAAGTGCCATTGCCACATCAGAGACTATGGCCTCCTATCACCAGCAACATATTTGAATCCTATAGTTAGCCTATGGCATCTTCCTTGTGTTCCATTTGGCCAAAGCACACAAGAAATGATCTTGGCATCTTGGCCTAGCCTTTTTCTGAACTCCAAAATTAAGCAGGGCCTGATTTCTGGAGTGCTTTCTCTTAGATTCCAAAAAGTTGTAGAGGGTAAATCTTGCAGTCCTGGAAACAGCATGTCTACCTTCAAAAAGTGCAGGTAGATGCACAGTGTCCTTCAAAGATATTTTCCAAAGCATTGCACATCCTTCTTGTTAGTACTTACATGGGAGTCCATCAAGGAACTCCTTGGAGTTACAAATACAGAGGATTAGGTCTGGAGAAAGACTTCTGTACTGTGGCTAAGAAGACATGTTTATAAAGTCCCCAGGAACTGAGCTTTATTTGAGCGAGACTTTTTAAAAAAATAAGATATGAGGGTGAAATGCAACCCCGCAGCACGGGATTAATTATAACTTTTTTAAAGGAGTGGATTATTGCAAATCTATGCTCTTATTTTCTCAAGGCGCATGAAGTTCTTTCTCTGATTTTATCCTCGTAACAATTGCTTAAATGAAGTGTATTGAGCTGAGAGGGAGGCGTGGCTGACTCTCTTTCAGAGAGTTGTTGGAACTTGAACCAAATTCAACACCTTTTCTCCTCTGGCCTGTTTTGATATGTTCTATAAATATTGTTTTTCAGGCATTAAAGGGACAAATCTGCATGACCTAATGATATTTGATGTAGGGATTAAAGTGCTAGCCTAACAACCAGGAGACGGTAAGTTCTAGTCCTATCTTAGACCTGAAAGCCAGCTGGGTGACTTTGGGACAATCACCAGGCGACAGTGAGTTCTAGTCCTGCCTTAGGCATGAACCCGAATGGGAGACTGTGGGCCAATCAGCAGGAGACTGTGAGTTTGAGTCCTGCCTTAAGGCATGAAAACTAGCTGGGTGACTTTCGGCCGGTCACGTCCTCTCAGCCCATCCCACCTCACAGGGTTGTTGTGGAGGGAAATTGAAGGAGGGACTATAATGTTTGCCACCTTGAGTTAACTTTATAAAGCAATGAAGGCAGCGGGATAAAAAAAATCTAAAAAACATTTCGGCGTTAGACAAATTTGACAGAGCAGAATTAAGCTGAAACCTTGATCTCTGTCTTGGTGTTGCAAAGTGAGCTCCGCCATCCATCTTAATTCCTCTAATTGTGATATAATCGCTGGTTGCTACATTCCCATGATGTCCTGACAGGAGCCATTTGCTAATGCCAGTACGGAGGTCCCGAGGCTAAGAATGAAGTTAAAAATGTGTGCCTTAAAACAACATATTATTGATCCATGGCCCCGGATGAGACTCGAAACATAGATTTTTTTTAAAAAACTTTCTCGTAGCTGCTATTAATTAGTATCAAGATTGCAGCATTGCAGTGGTGAATGTTAAAAGAGGCCCCTATTTCTAGTGCTACTGGAAAAGGCTTGCAATTCTTCCTGACGTAGTTAAAGCAACATATATGTGTGCAAATGAATTATGAAGGTGACTCTGTCTTACAATGGGATAAATAAATTAATCCCTAGAGATGACAGAGTGCTGGGATGTGAGCCATATTAAATAATTTCCCTCTTAGAGAGAGAACTGCATGAGGCACATTGCTGTTGCTAGGTTTTCTTGTATAATTGCTTTTAATGTTTGTTTACGTGTGTGTGTGTGTGTGTGTGTGTGTGTGTGTGCGTGTTCCATTCAATTTATACACAAAACTGAATTTTACACACGGACACACGTAGGTATGTATGTATAATTCAATTTTATGTATAAATTGAATGGAAAAATAGTCAAAGGAAAGGAATTAGAGTTACGGTTATAGAAGGAAAGTCTGGAAAAAGACTTCTGTATTGTGGCTAAAAAGGCAATATGGACATGTTCATAAAGTCAACAGGAGCTGAGCATTATTTAAAGGAGACTTATTTTTTTTTATATAAGGAATGAGGGTCAAAGTAATTTAGCCCACCATTTAATTTGATCTACTCGATTTAAAATCTAGGCCTGTGTGAAGACAAGTCCTATTCAGACCCATTCCTGACAAGCTAGGGAGAACAATGTTGAATTAGGAGAGTATTTTTTTTCCAGCAGCTGCTGTGTTGCCTTGGTTATTTATTTATTTTATTGTATTGGTCTTCTTTAGAAGATTGCCCCATTCCCAAAAAATCCCTCAATCCACAACGCTGTATAAATTATTTGCCCAGTCTCCACAGAATTAACTTAAACTGCTTGATCAAAATCTCCCTTGCCTCTCCCACTTGTGAGGCCTAAGGATTAGGGAGCTAAAATTGCACTTTGCTTGGCTTATTAATCAAAATTTTATCCCTCAGCAATCTTAAATAGACTTTTGGCAGCTTACAATTGAAGACCATATGTCTTAGTATGTCGTAGTACAAGATAAAAGTGCAATGCTTCTAATTCCCCAAATACTATCTCAAAAAACTCCGTTTCCAGGTGTTTTTGGAAGTGGACGACCTTCCATGGGAGGTCGTTCCAGAAAGCCAAACCCATTATGGAAAAACACTTCCAGATGTTGGCACCCCATCTTCTAAAAACGTGGGACATCGAGCTGTTTCTGCCGGCCTGAACAAAATCAGTCGAGAGTTATGATCTGGCACTTCACCCAATGCTGAGCAATAAAGCTCTTCACAGCCCTATCAATTGCATTGTGTTGTATTTATCTACTTTCCAATTTGCAGCATCCGTCCTGTGGCTGCCCAACCCATAGCCCCATATAGCCTCATTTTTTTGTTTGGATGGAAGAAAGATACAGGTGCAACCCCCTTTCTCCTCAGGTTTAATTCCATTCTTGCACACTGAGACAAGAAGCAGTGCAGTTGGTGCACCAGCTTTCCAGACTGCCTCGGGATGGCCCACCTTGAACAAAAGCAGACGGCAGAGATCCCTAGAAATGCCACTGAAGTCCCAAGCGATAAGTTGATGCCATCACAGCCTCAGCCAAACAGAAGGCCCAGGCAATGTGAGTGAGCTTACAATGAAGGTTTGAGACCTAGATATGACCTCTCCATATTCTTAGACTTCTTTCTTTTCTAACTCTGCTGACTTTGTGACTCCAGGTGATGTATAATAAAACAACATTAAAATATCCTTTATTGACCCTAATAGGAGAGCATAGTTCCATAAAATGTCAAAGTGCTGTACAGTTAAAAAATAAATAAAAATTCAGCAACACCACATACATGGGAACTGCAGAATGGGTTTTCCCCAGCTTCAGTAATTGTGCTTTAGAGTTTCCAAGCCAAGAATCACATTTGGTCACAAGAGAGGCGTGGAAACATGATAGATAAACCCATAATAGGAAGTTCATAGCTGCAAAATTGAGGCATTTCAGCATTACTCACTGTTACTGAGTTAAAAGTTAAGCCCGAGTAGCAATTTCTTAACAAGGATGCTAAAATGAGACAGAAATGGCTGTCGGTCAGTGAATGCATCTTTCCTAAAGTTGAGTAATAGCTTTAATTAATTGTTAGTTAATATGCAAGGACTGAAGACTGGTGTGAAAGGAATTAGGGAAAATCTGATTATGAGATGATGTGTCCTGCACCTTGCTTGGAAATCAAGCATGGAAATTACATAGAAAACAGTTTTTCATTTTTCCAGGTAACAAATGTATGTTGGGATACAGGTGAAGTTAGGTCTGAGGTTCAGTCTTATGTTGACTGTTAGGTTAATAAGAAACCAGTGAAAGTAATGTTGGTGAATCAAACTGGTCACGATTTTTTTCACCAAATCCCATTATTTTTTATTTTTATCCATCCCTATATTGGTTGGATCTTTCAGTCATCATTTAAAATATGGAGGCTGCCTTCTGGCTGTACCTATGGAACATTCCATTATTTGAAAAACTTAATTTCCATTCGTGCTTTTGAATACTTGCATTGATAATGCAGTCATGTTTTTTTCTCATTTTAAAATGGCCATTCCATATTTTAGGGCTTTTTCCATTTAGTCTATTTTCAAAAATTTAAAATGAAAACCACTTCTTTTCATAGCACTCTTTAAAACTGGAAAAATCTACTCTCATTTTCATTTCCTTACTTTTTCTCCTTCTCTGTCTCTCATATGCTAAATATTTTTTACTAAATATATGGTGGTATTATTTTTTTAATATTGATTGTTGTATTGTATTGGGGATTTCTTACCTTGGTTGCTATATTGTTTTATTTTTATATTAGTTTATATATAATTTTGATTTGCCTGTTTTGATTTACTTATTTCGCCCCTATATAAGCATGTGCTAATTAAAAGTATTGCTATTACTACTTGAAAGATGTTGCCAGGGGTGGGATTCTACAGGTTGGCACCTATTCGCTAGAACCGGTTGTTAACATTCTAAGCAGTTCGGAGAACCGGTTGTTAGAAGAAAGTACTGGCCTAATCCTGTAAGGAAGGCAGGAAGGAAACATTCTGGTGTTGCTTACAGAAACTGCCTCTCCGTTAACCCTTATTACATTCTTGGCAGGACTAGACTTCCTGTCTCAGGAACTTCTCTGGAGTTTTTTCCCCCCTCCTTTGCTGGTACTTTGCTTGTGTGAAGTGACCATTCAAAGTTACAATGGCACTGAAAAAAGTGACTTATGACCATTTTTCACACTTATGGCTGTTGCAGTATCCCCACAGTCATGAGACGTCAGGCGAGGAGATGCATGCCTCGATGTGAGTGATATTGAGTTGGCCATGCCCAGCCAGTCACATGACCACCAAGCCACGCCCACCAACTAAGCCACGCCCACCAACTAAGCCACGCCCACAGAACCGGTTGTTAAAAAAATTGAATCCCACCCCTGGGTGTTGCCAATAAAAAAAACCCACCCAGCATGAATATAAATTGCATGGGGGGAAAACCCATCTCTATAGTAGTTTTGCAAAGAAAGGAGCATTATTTGAGTCCTTGAAACAAATATAGGCCAGACTACTGCTTTTACGTATGTGTATTCATCACATTGTATGAAAAATGTGCATTAAATGCTCCTTGTTTGAAGGACTGGTAATATGAGGAAGCAATTTTAAACCATTCAGTTGCTTGCCTAGTAGCAAATAGCTTAGATGAATATAGCTATGTTCATTCAATACACTTAGCCCAGTTACTGAATTTAATCATTTTCTACCTTTGCATAATATATTAAACTGCAGACTAAACACATGAATAAGAATTGCTCAACTGTGCCTGAGCTACCAAAAAAAGAGAACCTTCTAACCAAGGTTTAAACAAAGCAAGATTAGCATATTAGGCAATATTTTTAATTTGTGAACAAATTAAGGGTGTGATGAGTAACTGAACTCTTGCCTTCTGGATGCCATACAGAATTACCATGTTGCCAAGTCAACATGCACCAATGAGTTGATAATCTTTCCCTGGTTGGAAAGTGTCCTGTTCATATTTTTCCCAATCTTTACATCATTTACATCTGAAATTAATTAATCCCTACATGATGTTTCTCCATTCCATTTTGGGAATGGAAGATAAATGCTGAGAATGGATAGAGCTGTTTATTTCAAGCTTAGCAACTTAAAGATATGTGGACTTTTAACCCCCCAGAAATTCTGCGGGAATTATGGGGGTTGAAGTCCACACGTCTTTAAATGGCCACGGCTGATAAACACTGAGATAGAATATAGTGTCCAAGTAGAAGTTTGAGCAACCAGATCATGAAGCTTTGTATTTTTAATTTAAGAACCATTTTGGTCTGGTGGTTAAGGCACCAGACTGGAAAGTAGGAGACTGTGAATTCAAGTCCCACCTTAGCCATGTAAGCCAGCTAAGTGACTTTTGGCCAGTCGTTCTCTCTCTCAATCCCATCCACCTCACAGGGTTGCTGTTGTGAGGGAAATAGGAGGAAGAAGGTCTGTTGGATATGTTTGCTGCCCTAAGTTATTTGTAAAAATAATAAATGTGGGATACATGACCCCATTTCCTCTTCTGAACAGAATCAGATAAGATCACTGCTCCAGAAACAAAAAAGGAGATCCCAGTGAGATAGAAGCAAGATGGGCGAAGAGCTGCACCATCCATGATCTCCATGGAGAAGACTTTCTTTGTGCTTAGTAAAAAAAATGTCTTCAGCCAATGAGTTTGTTAACTTCCATTCAACATAACTTAGTTCATTTCCTGTTTCCTTGTTTGTTTTCAGGCATGGATGGGAAGAAATGCAGTGTATGGATGTTCTTACCTCTTGTCTTGACATTATTTACCTCATCAGGACTGTGGATTGTGTAAGTACCCTTTGCTGTGGTTTCTGGAAGGAAGATCATTTGACACAAAATAAGTCTGTCAAATAATAGAAGTCACAACATGTTTTCCAGCAGATCTTGACTGAAAAACACTTCCAGCAGAAGCAGCATTCTACCCAATGAACATTATTATAATCAGATCTCTTTCTTGGAATGCTTTGGTTTTTTTTTCCAGCACAATAACTTTCCTTGAATGAGGTAAGATAGTTGCATAATGAATTTGCCGGGAAGTGTTTTCAATCAAGATCTCAGGGCTGTGAACGTTTTTTTCCCCAGTTTAATTCTTTATATTTTTGCAGTACCGATGCAAAATTAACATTTCCTAAACCTGCCAAAGTTTCTCTGTTGTGTATTGAGGTTGAACAATATTGCCTTGCCAATGTAAGCAATGCCACTGATAAAAACCATGCACACATATGCAAGAAATTAAGCACCTATGTCTGTAATCCAAATGTGATGGTAATCTGCATAGTTATGCAATATAAGCAAATCTGGAAAACTTGTTCTGTTCTGCATTGTTTAATTTGCAATTTTTACCTTATGCAATATTTTATCTGGGTTCGGTTTGCCACCCTGGGAAGTATGCAAAAGGTTAGTCAGAAGATCTAAATCTCATTTTCTATCATAAATTGTCAGCAGATGTTATTACTGACCTATTTTCCCAAGACGGCTAGATGTTTTAAGTGGAAGCAAACAATAAAAAAATATTAAGATGAATCAGTAGGTTTGTTCCTACAAAATGCCATGCCACAAGGACACCCTACATTATTGGGAGAAAAAAAGAGACACACCAAAAAAAGGCCAGCACCAACAACCGCAAAGACCAGCAATTTTGTTGGTGTTTTTTTCTCAAATGTCCTGTGAGTTTCTTTACTTCATACGCTGTTATTAGAAGCATTGCAAGGCACCATTTCATTACTGGGCACAAGATAAGAAAGCTAATCTTGCCAGTGGCCTCTGTTGCTTTTTTTAAAAAAAGATATTCACTCTTTCCTCTCCATATATACAAATCCTCATATGTTGTGAATTTTGGCTCTACAGTCCTCAGCTCAGGGACAGAACAGAACAGAACAGAACAAGTTTTCCAGATTTGCTTATGTTGCATAACTATGCAGATTACCATCACATTTGGATTACAGACATAGGTGCTTAATTTCTTGCATATGTGTGCATGGTTTTTATCAGTGGCATTGCTTACATTGGCAAGGCAATATTGTTCAACCTCAATACACAACAATACAGCCATTCTACCGGTTTGGACCGGTTCTATAGAACTGGTTGTTATTATTCTGTGAAGTTTGGAGAACCGGCAAATCGTGCCTCTGGCTGGCCACCCCCCTCTCCTCCCACCCCTCCCCTCCCCGCCCAGTCAGTATCATGTATGGACCCATGCCCAACATCGCTAAAAGTGTATTCTCCCCCACCCAGTCACTCCTTAAGGTATTTCATTTCCCCCTCCGAACAATCAGCTGTTCCGATAATTAGCTGTGCCAGGATCCCCCTCACTGTTTTATTGCTACACCCAGGAGGCTTCCCTGAGGCCCAGGAGGCAAAATGGGGAGCAGGTGTGTGTGCTGCACCCCTCCGCACTCTGTTTTTTGCCTTCCTGGGCCCCAGGGAAGCCTTCTGGGAGCAAAAATGCCCCACCCCGGAGGCTTCCATGAGGCCCAGGAGGCAAAAAAAATGGGGGGTGGGGGTTGTTAAGAATGTAAGTCACCTAACAGTTATTTGGGTTGGAAATATATAAACCAGGATAGACATTTTAATACTGTATCTTTAAGAAAATGCAAAAAACTGTAATTGGGTGTGGTTTCTCAAACGGCCATAAGATGGAGCCAGAAACCTGGGTTGTTTTAGTCTCAGAAGAGAGCGTGAGTGAGTCTCTGTTTCCTTCTGTTGGAGAGTATTGCCATTTTTCCTAATTGACTGTTATTCTTGGATTTGATTTAAGTCTGATACTGAACTGTTTTTGATACTGGACTTTGTTATTGGATTACCCCTGGACTGAAAACTGACTGATTTAACCGTGAATGACTTGGACTGAGTTTGAACTTTGCTTAAACGTTTATTGGAAGTAAAAACCTACATTGACTGTACAGTGTATCCGTATGCTGTGTGTGTATTATTCTTCACTTCTCTCACTATGTCTCCCTGTATGCGCTCATTTTCCTAACGGGGAATTACCTCAACAGGGGTGCTGCAAAAAAAAGAAGCCACCACGCCCTCCCAGTCACATGTCATGCTCACCTAGCCACAGCTACCTAACCATGCTCACAGAACCGGTTGTTAAAAAATTTGAATCCTACCCCTGCCTCTGCTTACAACCACAACTGAGGCCCAATTTGAGACATTTGTTAAGTGGGGTTTGCCCCATTTTATGTCCTTTCTTGCCACGGTTGTTAAGTGAATCATTGCAGTTAATATTTGCTCCAAATGTCCTTTTTCAAGAGGCAACTGGACTTTCTGGTTTTTCTTTGAAGACTTTTCGCTTCTCCAGAGCTGAAGGAGCTCCTTAGATGAGAAGCGAAATGTCTTCAAAGAAAAACCAGAAAGTCCAGTTGCCTCTGGAAAAAAAACACCTTTGGGACAACCAGGACCTGGAGGACTGAGAATCTCCATCTCCATAACTTACCAACTTATCCAGTTGATAAGTTAGTAACGCGGTTGTTAAGGGAATCTGTCTTCCCCATTGACTTTGCTCGTCAAAAGGTCGCAAAAGGTGATCACATGACCTTGGAACACATCAATGGTCATAAGTATGAACCAGTTGGCCAGCATCTGAATTTTGATCACATGATTATGGGGATGCTACAAAGGTGGTAACTGTGAAAAATGGTCATAAGTCACTTTTTCCGTGCCATTGTAACAGTCACTAAGTGAATGGCTGTAAATCAAGGACTACCTGTAACAGATAACAGATAATCAGAGTTGGAAGGGACCTTGTCGGTCATCTAGTCCAACCCCCCGCTCAAGTGAGAGACCCTACACCATTTCTGACAAATGTAGTTACTGGGTGAACTAAAAATTAAAGAGATCCTTATATTAAGGGTGGTTTTTGATCATTCAATTTACTAGACTGATTTCCTGAGACTTCTCCAAGAATTCTGTTCTGCACCTAATGAAAGCTTCTTTCTTAAAAATCTAAACAGGTCCCACGCTGCTTTGCTTCTAGTATCAGTCAAAGTTAGTCAGGCATCCCTATCTGCTCAGAGTAAAAACTCCTTAGTAGTAAATTGGAGCTTATTCTGTGTTTGATTATCACAGGAAGTCAAAGGAAGTCATGGCTTTCCCTGACAACTCATGGCTTTTCCCTGGGGAAAGCAACATTTTACAAGAGCAGGGTGAAAGTAAAAAATAATAAATTACTAAGCTGAGAAACCAGAAACATGATATATGAAAAAAAGAGAATCTATCTATAATTTCACTACTGTACATAAACACCATCCCTTATACCTCTCCGTATCTTTCCATTTCTTTTAGTTATTCTAGTTTTCATAATACCCATATATGCCACTTCATTACAGGGAATCCTCCACTTACAACAGTTCATTTAGTGACTGTTTGAAGTTACAACAGCACTGAAGAAAAGTGACTTAATACCCCCTTTTTTCCATACTTACAACCATTGTAGCATCCCCGTGGTCACTTGATCCAAATTCAGATGCTTGGCAATCGTATTTATGATCGTGTTCCAAGATCATGTGATCGCCTTTTGTGACCTTCTGACAAGCAAAGTCAAGATTCACTTAACAACTCTGTTACTGATGTAACAACTGCAGTGATTCATTTAACAACTATGGAAAGAAAGGTCACAAAATGGGGCAAAACTCAACAAATGTTCCATTTAGCAACATAAATTTTGGGCTCAATTGTGGTTGTAACTCGAGGACTACCTGTCATTGTCCTTAGTTCTTTAAACTTCTCATCTGCCTCTTTTAAGAGAAATTTATCAACTCCATCCAAACATAACTTTCTTGGTGTTTTCCTTCCTCTCAGTCCAGTCACTTTCCCCCCACATATGCTTCTTCCTGACTCTCTCCTAAATACTTTCCTGCCAGCTCCTAATTCCAAGAGACCTACATGCCCTTCCTTTTTCTTTGTGAGGGATAATTGTATTAACATTTTCTCTTCTCCTTTCCTATTTTTGACAGATATTTTATAGCAGTAGAGGACAACAAAATTCTTCCACTAGACGTGACAGACAGGTAAAACACAAATTGTTAAAAATATTTATTTCCTTTCTTCTTATTTGGCATTTGAAGGCTTTCACCAGGCTCTTTTCCAAAACAATGTTAGGAGCTTTACTCTGTCGCCATCTATAATAAACTAGAATTAGCTTCCCTTAGGTGTGAAGTGCTTTTTTTATAAGCCTTTTTTATTAGCAAGAGTTCCAGTGGACATGTTAGTGTTTTTTTAAATAAAGCTATGCAGTGCTTTGGATTTAATTCCCAAGAGTTGTTTGAAACACACAAGTCTGTGAAGGTCACCTCCTTCTGTAACTCTTTAAAGTAGCCATGTCTTTTCTGGGGATGGCAGTTGCATCATCCCAGAAAAAGACATGGCTGCTTTAAAAGTTGCAGATGAGTGCTATAATTTTGCTCTTGTCCACTTTGAACAACATTTGAAGGACTGACTCTGAAGCACTGCCCAGCCATAGCCGAGAGCATCGTGGGCATTCACCTATTCTCTGCTAATAACCAATGTGATGTAAAGAGCTCAAGGTGGGTGCACTGAAAGTAGATAGAAACAAATTTTTCAGCTTGTTTGATTGTGCATTTGGTCACTAGCCTCTCATAGTTTTGAACTATATATCAGTCTACGTTTTTCTTCTTTGCTTTGTTTATTCTGAGATTTACCAGTTGAATCCAGTTACCAAATGGTAGCCCAAAGAATGGAGCTGCTCTTATCATCACACCTTGTAAACCTTATGCTCTCCAGCATGTAATTGCTGTATTAATATAGAAATTTAAAAAGTAAACTCTAAGAAGAATGAGGACAAGGAGAGATGGAATCACAGCCTAGGGAGCAAGTCAGCCATTTCTGACACAGTGGTAACTTGGTACTCATCATTAATTGGTTCCAGGAGATGCGACAAGTACTAGAAGGATGACAAACAAACCACGTGACTTACACGTGCCAAACAAACCATGTGATTTACCATGTGATATTTTGTTTTGGCCAGGAACACTTCCTGTCTGTCCCTTTTCCTATATGAGTGATCTTCTCAGTTTGGCCAACTTCTTGTCCGACCTCTGGGGGCCGTTCCCTTCTTCCTTTTGCAGCAATTTTCCTAGCACAGCCGACTTCCTGTCCTCCGTGGCTGTCCCCCTTTTCCTATTGCAGCATGTCGAGTTCCAAACAAACAGCAAATACCAGGATAACATTTTTACATCAGAATGTGTTGAGTACTAAATTCAGTGAGTTTTGAAGCAGTTGAGTACTGAGCTACCACTGTATATTGATGGATGATATAGTTACATTGAGCCAGCAAAGGTAATTACTAACAAAATATTGCCACCAGAAGAATCGGTGTACGTGCAGAATAGCCTGAAAAAGCAAATATCATTTGCACAACCGATAACAGGAATTAGGATAGAGTAACTGATAGAGAAAGAGACTCTCAAGGTGAATTTTAAGAGCAATCTATAAAGCCTGGCAAACAATTTAGATCACAAATACCTGCTGTGTTTCCTTCCTTTTCTTTTGATTCAGAACCAAAGAACGTCTAATCTAATTCAACAAATACACACATATCTGACTGGCAGAGTAAGAAGAAAAGGCACATTATGCCAGGCTTGGAAGGAGTTGGAATTCCACCATTCTTCCTGTGCAACTCAGAGAGAGATAGAAGAAAATATTTGCAGCTCAGGGTTGAATTGTAGGGTCCTTAGTGTTCTCTGACCTTGGTGGTTTTGTTGCAAGAAAACCACCAAACTCGGAGACCACCAATAAGCCCACAATTCAGGGAGAAGAATCAAATTATAAGCCTCATCCTGAGTGCTGGGGTGAAGGAAAGATTATGAGAAGAACTATTTGATGTATGCCCTTGCTTGCCATCATGGCTCTCCGTGATGGGCAGTTGACACATATCCACACAACTTCATTTGGAAATGGAGACCAGTTCTCAAGAGAGTGGAAACAGGTGGGAGAAGAGAAAGCAGAATGAGTCTTGGGGCATCTTAAAGTTGTAGAGTACCTCATAAAAAGAATTTCCTGAGCGTTCGGAACCAGGACTGATAGAAATTGTTATTTAGGGTGAAAAGTCCACTCTCCCCATCTCCATTCATGCATTTCTAAATATGTGGATTCTAAACTTCAGGGGCTGTCCTACTTTCAACATTGCTGACCATTTTGGAGTAGAAGTCCACATGCCAAGATGCTCAGATTGGAGAAGACCACCGTAGATGTTTTGGGTAGATTGCAATCGGAGCTCTGTTTCACCTTCTTTGAAAGTAGATCATTTGCTTAAAACTAGGTATTTCTATGCAAAACAAGTTCAGTAGCACCAAATGACTAATGTTGTCATTCTGACTTAGGTGTGATTAGTTTCCTTTTGTGTCCCACAGCAAACCAACTTCTTTAAAGCCGCCATATATAAGGTAATCATACCCTTGTCCGTTCTCTTCTTTTGTCCCCTCTCTTTTCTCTTCTTTCCCCCAACAAGGCTTGTTCTACCCTATGCTTTTTAAATTGATTTATTTACCTTTGTTGCAGGCTTAGTAGATTTACAATGAAACACATTATATTTTTGAAGTATTGCAGGTGATGACCCTCCTGCTAGCTGTGTATTTAGCCAAGTCATGAACATGGCAGCATTCCTAGGTAGGCGTTGCATGAAGAATGTGTGGCTTCTTCTTCTTTTTTTAATCTCTTCTAATTCATTCTAGAGAATCTCCTGTTTCAGCCAAATCCATGTTATTGAAGACTTTTAGTGAACAGCCAGCTACAAGGGCTAAATTCTCTCTGAGGTGGTAAAGTTGGGTTTGGGCTAAAAACAACTTCACATCCTCCAATTATTATACAAAAAAGAAAGTGAGCGTGTCTAGGATAATGCTAGCCTACATCATTTTCCCTGACACATTAACACTTTAGTGTGGTTTTAGTCAGTAATCGGCAGTGGACACTATATCCAGTCCAGAGGTGGTATTCAGCAGGTTCTGACCAGTTCTGGAGAACCAGCAGCAGAAATTTTGAGTAGTTCAGAGAACCGGCAAATGCCACTTCTGACTGGAGGTGCCATGCCCACCAAGCCACACCCACAGAACCAGCAGTAAAAAAAATTGAATCCCACCACTGATCCAGTCCCTATTTATAGCCTCAGCTTACATAGGATAGGTAGAGATTCCAGGTGGAGTGAAACTATCTGGAACCTTTAAACTCAAAAATTAGGCTCTTTAACTTGAAATTGGGCCTGTCCTACTGTGCAGGGTGGTCAGTTTTTTAATATCTCTCTGCAGATTGTTATGGGCTGCCCTTTAAAATGTTCCACCAAGCTCTGGAATCAATCATATCCAAGCATTATGGGTAATTAAAATAGAAGATAAGAATTCTGCTGTCTGTCATTAGTGATAGGTTGTTGATGGGCAATAATGTTGAGAAGCTACCAAATGATACTTGTTTTGGCAGCCCCATCAGACCTAAAGCTTACTACCTCAGCAGGAACTAGACCTATAAAAATGTGTTATTAAGTATTCTAATGTTAACCCATGAATGCCGTCATATTGTTTTTTCATATGTGAAATTAAAAAAAACACCCCACCTCTTCAATTATTATTATTATTGGTTTGCATGAGACATTTACAGACTCTGTTGTTTGAGGACTCTGCATGTGTGTGAACCTCACACGGTTGTGAGTGTGCATTTAATAACAACAATAATAATGTACCATTTATATGTAACTCTTCCTTGTCTGGGCTGTTGGTCATTCTTCCCATATAAATAGGCACAAAAGATTTTAGATAATTATCTATCTATCTATATAAAAACAAAATACCACTCATGTATCATCACAAAATCTCCAGAACCGTAAAGCCTACAAACTTGAAATTTGGCACGTATGTTCCCCTTGGCTTCTAGGTGCTTGCTAAGAAAGGATTTTTCGAAATGATCATCGGAGCATTAGTATTGTGTATATTATTATTATTAACACGCTCTGATGCTAAGGAGTTCTACTCCCCCTCCCACCTGAAAAGAAATCTGTTCCAAATGCAAAACACAAGCAGAGGAGTTTCAGTTTCAGTTTTAGTTTCACAGCACCAAGCAGCTTTAGTATAGAACAGTTGAGCTAAGCCACGCCCAAGCTCCTTGCTGTCTCCTTCTTGCTCACACAGAAAATACTGTTTCACTTTCCAAACAGCCCTCAACTTTCTCACACACTGACAGGATGTAGCTAGATGAATACCAATGGATGCTGGTAGGCAGAGGCAGAAGTTTTTTCCCCTTATTTTCCTCCCCAAAAACTAAGCCCGATCACATAGTTTCGTAGTGAAGCATGGGTATAGAGCTAGTTTTTCATGATTCTGAGAATTGATTATACTGAGCACTTAATATATTATCCACGATACTAGTATCCACAATAAATAGTAACCACAATAAAGCCTTGTTGATGCCTTCTTATTCAAGTGTGCCTATCATGTGAGGAGAAAGAAGAGACACAATCTTGATGGTCTTAACTCCATGATGATGTCTCCTGCCAAGTTCTCTGTTAAGAGTGGAACAAAAGTTTGGACACAAGAAATTCATTTAGTAGTGCTTCTTGTATGGTTGAACCTGCAAACTAACAAGTCTTCTGAAGAACCTATATCCTCCAGGGCTTCACTGATCATCTTGTAGTAAGAGGAAAAGGACCAACAAGGCAGAGGTAGAGAGCAAGGTTCCATATCTCCCCCATGAGTGAATGTTAGGGCATTGAGACTAACTCTTTGCTCCATGTAGAATGTCCTGTCTAAGTGGTCTTTTTGCTTGGCCACGTCCTGGAAAAAGGAGTTCACTACCATTCTCAGAAATTAGGTCTGTTGTTGATCTGCTTTTACCACTAGGAGGTGTTCATGGATGAATGCCAAGTTGTGGTAAGATTAGAGGAAAGTGCATTTTTCAGTTGCTGCGGGCCAATGTTGATCAACACAGCTTCTAATTTCTCAAGATATCATGCCTGTCATACAGTGTTAAGTACAGAAGCAAAAGGAGAATGCTGTTTCTTTATTTTCCTTGCAGGCTTCTCAGAAAACCACTTGAAAAGAAGTTGTTGGTCTAGATGGATATGTTCCTGTTCAGCTCCTACATTAGCCACAAGTTTAATAAATATAAGCATTCATCAGTTGCACTGCCAGCATGGAAATGTCAATATGTATTTAGTGTTTTGCTCCAAGGGCTCTTTAAAAATCCATGATTTTTAAGACCCACCATACTTAGTCTGAGGGTGAAGCAGCTTCACTATTACAATTTGCATAAACCTGTGGCTATTCTTGCAGAAAATGAAATGGCTCTTAGAAATTATATTCCAGAAAGCATAGCACTGTACTGTACTGTACAGGTAGTCCTCAACTTATGACTACAATTGAGCTCAAAATGTCTGTTGCTAAGCGAGACAGTGGTTAACATCTGCTTGCCACAGATGTTAAGTGAATCACTGCAGATGTTAAGTTAGTAATAACAGTTGTGCTACTAACAACTGGCTTCCCCATTGACTTTGCTTGTCAGAAGGGCACAAAAGGGAACCATCCTGAGTCAATTGCTTTGATCATGTGACCCTGGGGGATGCTGCAGCAGTTGTAAGCGTGAAAAACAGCCACAAGTCACTATTCCCCCACCCCCAACGCCATTGTAACTTTGAACAGTCACTAAATAAACTACTGTAAGTCAAGGACTACCTTTACATGAATTCAAGAAAAAGACTTTTTTGCATGCAAACCATGCTGGATGAGGAATTCTGGAAGTCGAAGATCACATAAAGTGGCTGAGGTGGAGAAACAGGGCCATATAATTGCTAAGATAAACAACGCATTACCTATGCAGATGTTTTGTGGCAGTCGAATTGGAATGATATCTTAGTTCACAGAAAGACATTGTGAAAAAGCAGGCACCCAAGTTCTTATTTTTCCCCTGTTCTTTACTGATTTGTAGTTGCCTGGTCCTATCACTTCTGATTTCTGATCTCTGTGGCAGGGAGTCTTTTGTAATTTGTGTGAGCTTCCTGCAAAATTTAGAATATGGCTCTAAGCTCATCAAGATTTTACACCAGTGGCTTGGCGGCCTGGCCGCAGGGCGGTGGGGGAGAAGAGGGGAACTGGGCCATGTGATTGGCGGGCCGGTGTTTCCGCGCATGCACACAGAGCTCGACTGGATGTGGAGCTGCATGTGCAAACACACTGGCTCGCTGCTCGCACAAGTTGAGCTGTACACACACATGCATTCCCCCTGGGCTGCTTCTCGCACACCCGGTTATCAATAGGCCATGGCCTGGTATTGGGCTTCGGTCTAGGGGTTGGGGACCCCTGTTTTACACCATATACTGTATTCCCTTCTGCAAGTGTTCAGCTCCCCATATGTGGCCAGGAGAAGTGATAACGCTGCAAATATATAACAAATGATTTGTTTCGTTATGTGCCGCAATACTCACATAGCAGGTTAGTTAAAGACTAGACTAGACTAGACTAGACTAGACTAGAATAGACTAGAATAGAAAAGAATAGAATAGAATAGAATAGAATAGAATAGAATAGAATAGAATAGAATAGAATAGAATAGAATAACAGAGTTGGAAGGGACCTTAGAGGTCTTATAGCCCAACCCCCTGCTTAGGCAGGAAACCCAACACCACTTCAGACAAATGGTTATCCAACATCTTTTTAAAACTTCCAGTGTTGGAGCATTCACAACTTCTGGAGCCAAGTTGTCCCACTGATTAATTGTTCTAACTGTCAGGAATTAGTTAGGTCATTCTTTAGCATGTATGAATCAAGCCCATTTGCTTAGTATAAATGCCGAAAACCGTATAAATGCAGAAAAAGTCTGACTTAGAAACCAAGTTAAGCTTTGTGTGCAAACTCAATTATACATTTTAAATTACATGGGGACGGGAGTGGGAGAACTAGTGCTAATTACTGGTTTATTCATCTACAAAGTTAATGGGAGAACTCATTTTGGGGCTGCTCAACCTTTGTTAACAGTTGTTTTGTAATAAGTGACAATACCTGTCCATGTAAATGGGCCCTCACTTGGATGTTTAGTGGCTTTTATTGTGAAAGTTAAAATTGCAGAGCGGCATCAACAATTTTTTCTCTCTCTCTTTTCCCCCCCCCAGCATTGGTCATAGCTGTCCTCCGTTTCATTCAGCTAAAACCAAAGGTTTTGACTCCATGGCTCAATATCAGTGGCTTGGTGACTTTTTGCTTGGCTTCTTTTGGAATGACCCTTCTGGGCAACTTCCAGGTATTTTGTTTTCTCTTCCTTACTGGTGGGGGTCACACCTTTCATTCTGCAGTAACATCATTTCGTTGCTTTGGGTTTAGTGTGTTGCATAAACCTAATGTTGATCTCCTGGGGTAAACCAGATAGGAATCAACAACAGGATGAGTTAATTCAACTTTATCGTAGACAGAATCTTGCTCCCTTGAACAGTCCTTACACACACACACACATACACACACACACCCTTTACAGCCTGAGAAACTAGAAGGGGCCTCTTCTGAGCCCTTGCCCCCACTTACTATCCTGTTATGGGTTATGCTAATTTTTACCTGGCCATTCCCTTGTTAATAGTTCAGAGGATTAAAGTTGCTGAGCTTATCAGCTGGAAAGCTGACAGCCTGGGTTCGAGACCCAAGTGCCATGTGATGAGGTGAGCTCCTGTTATTTGCTCCAGCTCCCGTTACTCGCTCCAGCTCCTAGCATTTCGAAAGCATGTGAATGCGATAAATAAGTACCACTTTGGTGGAAAGGTAATAGTGTTCTGTGCACCTTGACATATACTCATGCTGGCTAGATCAGGGGTTGCCAACCTTTTAGGCCTCAGGGACCACCAAACTCATAATTTTAGATCCCAGGGACCACTAACCGATTCTGTGGGCATAGCCTAATTTGTGGGTGTGGCTTGGTGGTCATATGACTGGCTGGGCATGGCTTGTATGTAAATATTATAAATATTTATATAAATATTGATTCTTTTTATAAAAAAGAGCAACTTTTACCCAAAATCAGGCAAAGCAGGCAGGCAGATTGAGTTGCTCACAGAATCACAGATTCATTCAGAGATCTATCTATCTGCCATTGGCTAGCTCAGTCTGTCACATAAAATTTGCTTGCAAGCAAACTCACAAAATTAACTCACAACACACCATGCATGTAAATATTGGGTTTTTTTTAATAAAAAAGAGCAACTTTTACCCAAAATCAGGCAAAGCAGGCAGATTGAGTTGCTCACAGAATCATTCAGTGATCTATCTATCTGCCATCGGCTAGCTCAGTCTCTCAAATTTGCTTGCCATGAGTCTGCACTGAATTTTCTTGCAAGCAAACCTTCAGTCCTAAGGGAGGTTCGGCTGTGCTGAGCTGAAGATCTAAAGACTAGCTAGAAAGCAAGAAATCCAACAATTTCCTGCTTCCTAGCTAATCTAAATCTCCCGGCACAGCAGAACAGATGATGGTCGGAAAAAGGAAAAATAGCAATTTAGCAGGCAAGTTTACCGGGTAAGGAGTGAGTGGGCGGGGAGGGTTTCAATGGACTATGTGGGCGGCGCAGCCTTGTGTTTCTGCACAGCCTGGATTAATTGCTTTGGGGGGGGGATGCTCTGGGGTGGAGATTTCTCTGCGGCCCACCACTGGGCCGTGGCTCACCGGTTGGCAACCCCTGGGCTAGATGACCACAGAAATGTCTTCAGAGAATACCGGTTCCCTCAGCTAAGAAATGGAGATGAACACTGCCCCCTAGAGTCAGAAACGAGTAGACAGGGAAAAGCTTTATTTTTTTCCCTTGGCAGTGACTTGGCCCAATCTCCCAAGATCTTTTCATTATATCTAGCCATGATTTATGAATCATGGCTTAAGGCTTTCCTTTCTGCATAAACTATTATGGTTTATTCAATAAAATGTAGTGGAGCAAATTGTCACGTACAGCTTAGAAAATAGAGTAGGTCACTTGGAAACGGGCTCAATGACTGGCATGACTTACTACTTTAATTCTAGGCTCAATTACAGTCGTTAAGATGAGGATTACATGTATCAATTTGAAAGTTGAGAGATAAGCAAAAACACTTCCTGGGAATGGAAAGCAAAGACCTTCAGCTGTCACAATATACACTGCAGATATATTATTAGGGCATTCTGAGTTGAGCAACGAAAAGTAGAATTCTTAGGAAAATTTGACTGTTTTTTTTAATTGGGTGTATTAACCAAAGTCACATGTTTTGTGTTCTTTTTAGCTTTCCAATGATGAAGAAATACACAACGTTGGCACCTTTTTGGCCTTTGGTTTTGGCACTCTGGCCTGTTGGATTCAGTCCGCACTAACCCTCAAAATAAATGTGAAGAACGAAGGTAGAAAAGCTGGCATCCCACGAGTGGTTTTGTCAGCGGCAATAACTCTCTGCCTAGTCCTTTGTATCCTTTTAAGTTTTTGTTTCTTTTTTCCTTTTCAAAATGCAAATATTGCTTTCAGAACAACAGCTTGCCCTCCTGATAAGCTGTTTCTGGATTGTTACTAAATTCACTTCTGTGGCTTTTTTTCATGTGCTTTAATTGATGTTTGCAGAAGGCTCCATTTTAAAGGCAAATGGCCCAGATTAGGAGTTCAAACTTCCCAGGTTTCAATATTTGAAGAAACAAAACTTTAGTGCTTAAAAATTAGCCACATTTGAATTATTATAGTTGGTTGCACAGTGATGATATTAAAGGGTATTGTCATAAACAAGTTCATACGAAGTTGCCTTTTGCAATTGACTGGTCCATCCATTCCAGCTGTTTTGGGATTGTACCCAAGACTCATGTTACCGCATTTGTTTCTTTTGCCACAGTTGTGATACTTCTATTTGCAGGTCTTCATATTTTGTGATTCCCTCACCCATTCTTTCTTTTTTGTTCTGCCATCTCCATGTATTGCAATATTTACTATCCGGAATTCATCTTTCTTATCAAAAATTGCTAAGTTTGGGGTGTTGTGTGGCAGATCTTGTCTGTTTTGAGTTCTAATGTCCCAGAGCACTTTAATTTTTTCATTTATTACCAATTTGCCTATTTTGTGATCTCACCAATTTTTGCTTATAGGCAAAATGTTTGTTGCCAGGATGTGCGATCTTCTTGCAGCATCTAATTATTACTATTTCACCCTTAATCGCATTTTGAAAACCTTTGTTCTTGATGTACTGATTTACTTCTTAAAAAGACTCTGGAAAAGCAGGGATTTAGGTGTAATATATGCTTTGCAAAAGTCCACTTAATGAATTTGCAAATGCTATAATCTTATTCTCACCCTGTTCATCACACATAGCTGCTTAATTAAAATCTTAGGTGTACCATATTGTCCAAGCCTGGAATATCCACCATTCCAGATATATAGATAAATCCATATATTTTGATTTCAAACTCTTATTTTCCACAAAGCCTAAAAAATTACTTTTTGTTTGGACAGCAGAGTAAGCTGAAATCTTGGTTAAAAGTTCGGCACAATGGGGTGGCAATAACAGGGCCATGTTTTTGCATTCTTTGCTAGCACATTGGGGCTGTCCATATTGTGTGAATCCAGTGTATGAGAAGTGCAGAAAACACAGGACCTCTCTAGGTTTAGTAGCTTACTCATTGGAAAAAAGAATTTGCTAGATATTTTTCTTAGCATTCCAATGTTCATATGTATCTAAATTTTCAAATTCTATTTTGATTTTTTTGTGCGAAATGTTCTCTCCCTAGAAAAGGAATGGAAAATGTGCAGCCCTGAACTCAAATTGATTCTAACAGCAAGACGGTATTGTGAAATTATGAAAATTTCAATCTAAAAACAGCTGGATGGAAAAAACGTTGATCCCTGGGACGTTGCTACAGCTTGAGGAAATAACTCACAGGGAATATTCTGTTTCTTTCTTGATGAGATCATTTTTAAGGAGGTTCTGAATACAGGCTTGTGCTATTGAAAATTCCAGATTTAATGCTTTATGTCAAAGGTTTTCAAACCTATTCTGGCTGATCTGATAGTTAGAAAGGAAAATTTCCCAGATTGCCTACACCAGAGACAAACTCTGAAGATAAAAAAAATGGGCTCTCTTTGAGAGGAGTTATTTAGTCATCCTTTTTTGCCCTTCCTCTGCCACATATGCTGTATCTTATCAAATTCTTGTAGAACTTTAGGGTTGTGCAAACACTGCTTAACCCTACCCTGATCACAGTCTGATGGCATCTACCTGAATTGGCACACTCCTCGTTTTCCTGAGAAACTTACCTTTATTGTAACATATGATATCTAATCTTTGTGTTGATGAATATATTGTGGGGGAAAAAACACAAGCAGCAATATCTTCACGAGTCTTAATAGTCCAGAAATAACATTTCCAGTTGCTTACTGTAGGTTAATGTGGTTTGGTTATGTTCTTATGACTAATAAAGTTGCAAACCGTGGTTGAATAAGCAATATGAAATAGAGCTTACAATTCTGCCAACTATTTCTGTTGCTAAGCAAGAGAGTTGTTTTGTCGCATTTTACGACCTTGCCACAGTTGTTAAGTGAATCTGGCTTCCTCGTTGACTTGTCAGAAGATCACAAAAAGTTTCCCTATCTTTCCTCACTTTTCTTCCCTCTTCCCCTCATTGTCCTTTTATTTACTTTTGTTATTTCTTATTTTACAATACTTTAAAACTTAACAAAATGTGATTGGAAGATCGCAAAAAGTGATCACATGGTCCCTGAGACACTGAAACCCTCATAAAATACCCGCCAATTTCTGAGCTCCTGACTTTTGATTGTGTGACCATGGGGATGCTGTAACACTGTGTGAAAAATGGTCATAAGTCACTTTTTTCAGTGCCGATGTAATTTTGAACCATCACTAAACAGATGGTTGTAAGTCAAGGCCTGCCTTTAATGCTGCTTTCCATGGTCAGACGCGGGTTCGATGGGATGTAGCCCTGATTCCAAGAGGCATCCCAATGTTTGCTCCGCTTACTGTGTATGTTTCGGTGCATTTTCCTTGACCCTGCTTCAGATTTCATTTTGATGAATGAGTTCAAGTTGCACATGCATGCGTCACGGATCCAGTGGGGAATGGTGATGTGCTTCCTATGTTTCTTCGGCTCCTTCGCGGTGGAATTCAGACATTACCGGTTCGAGATCATTTGCTCCGAGTACCAAGAGAATTTCCTCAGCTTTTCTGAAAGCCTCTCTGAAGCCTCCGAGTATCAAACAGATCAGGTGTAACCCATCTCCCAACTGACCAGGCGGATGATGTTTGATGTTAAAGGATTGAACTCACGGCCTCTTTCATTTACCGTGTTTTAGCGCTTTTTTTTTTTTGCTAATTTCTCTCTGCAATCGCCCAAAATTTCTTCCGAAGAAAGAACAAGATGGCTCTTTGCATGGATTCACAAAATGTTTCTAACTGAGCCGCTTTCGGTTTGAACACGAACACCCTGCCTCAAATTCTGTGGAGATTCTGAGTCATCCAGATCATGGTTGTCCCAAAAGTGCTTTTTTTATTTTATTTTCTCAAAAGGCCACTGGACTTTTCCTTGAAGACGTTTCGCTTCTCATCCAAGAAGTTTCTTCCGTGTTGACTTCATTTCAGTTCTTCAGTCAGAACGGAAGAAGTCTTGGATGAGAAGCGAAACACCTTCAAGGGAAAACAAAGTGCCTGAAAAAAGCACCTTTGGGTGACATCCTGCCTCAAATACAAAATGGTTGTTCTAAACGCAAAGCGAGAAACTTCCTGCACGTTTTCTGGGCTCAAGGCGGAGCATTGCTGGCAGATTTTCCCCAATGTTCAAAACAGCCCATGTCTTGCTTAGAACAGTTGTTGCACATTTAAGGCTGGGTGCTTTGTCCTCGAAACGGCGGAGTTTGAAACATTTTGTCCACACGACTCTTTGCTTTTTTTTTTTTTTGCTTAAGGTATTTTAATACACGGTATGAGATGTTGAGTCATTGAGTTTAGGTTTGTTTCCCATAGTTCTCTTGTAACTGGCTGGCAGAACTTAATTTTGCATTATATTGTTACACACAAGAGGTAGCCAAGAACTATGAAGAACTGTTATCCATACGTATAGTATATGCAGTTACGCCTTGAGTGACTGTAAAAAATGGAAAGGGTCTTTTTACCTTCAATAACTTTTAGACCAGAATTCTACAGCAACCATGGTCTATGGATATATCATCCACTGGATGGTGGTGTATCCAAATTTGCAAAACGATATGTCAAGTTGCAATGCAAGCTGCATCTGGTGTCTGTATGCATACACCATGCAGAAGACAGGTTATGATTGTGACAGGGTTATGATTGTGATACCACAGCTAGTATTTTACAGATCCATTGTGTAATAAGCTTTAACTATAACCTGTACATTTGGCCACGGAATCTACAGTTCCCACGTCTATTACTGTGGAGGTTTGCAAACCACTTTCCTGTGTTATTGAGTTTCTGGGGTCAGTTGTCTGCTGAGGTACAATGTTATCTTTCCCTACCTTTTTCTGCATTTCAGACTCTTTGAAAGGAAATGCCGATTTTACTGCAGCCTGGTCCATTAGAGCGAGCAGATGGTGCTTGACCTCACAAAAATCAGGGCTTGGATTGTCAGTCTACCTGCCTTCCCATATTCTGGTGCTTTTGCCACCTTTTATATTGAAAACAGGTTCATTTCTCACTTTGGGGAACAAGAACACACACACACACACACACACATTTTTATGCGGCTTCCCTCTGGGGCCCAGTGAATGGATGATGGGCATTTATGGAATCCTAGATAGCCAGATGCACAAGATAGGATTGTTTCTGAGCCTTTAGTATTTGCATAGTAGCAGGAATCTCAAGGAGCTGTCCTGCAAAATCCTCTTTCTAGGTCATTTTTCAAGTTGCATATGAGTTTTCTTTTTTCCTGTATGTGGCCTGTATATTTAACACATCTTTTTTCAGAGATTGGAAGATGTTTCTATGCTGGAATTTTAAGACTAGATACGCCAATGTGAAGCTGTGGGGTAGAACTGTTACTTAAGGAGAAAAGTGTAACATGTTTTGAAGTGGGGAAAAAATAAAATCAGATGATGTTGGAATGTTAACCAAGTAGCAATAACTAAGAGCTTGTAAAGGACAATTGAAAAATTGCTAATTTGCTATATGGAATAATTAAATAACTACAGTTGGAGGTAGACTTTTGGGATGAAATTATTTGCTACACAATCTTACCTAATTTTACATCAGAGTAAGTCTCACTGAACATAAATTGGATTAAGTCCAACACTTTAAATTCCAACAACTGGGCCAGAATCTCGACTGAGATAGTGAATGGTTGAGATAGGAGTCAGAAAATATTGAACAGAGAGAGCAATGAATTGGGTGAAAAGCTGAAGTTTAATAATTAGAAATAGGAGATCTGTCAAAGTGATAATGGTTATCAATGTAGGACATAAAAGCACGCACAACTGTAAAATACACAAGTGATTCTATATTAGAGGGGTTTGAGGGAGGTAAGTCAGGTGTAGATAGCTAAGTACTGTTCAGATGTTTTGGAACAGCTCTGGACAGGATGGCAAGGGATTATGTTACCAACATCTGGTGAGTAACAGGTTGCTTATCCCAGCTGTAGAGGAATCCAAACCAGCTGTGCTTCTCCAGTTAGGAAAAGGTTGGAAACATAAGAAATCCACCAACAAGCAGCTAAATGGGTTTCTGTTAAAATGTGTTTTACTGTAAATAATTCATTGTGGATTTTTAAAAAATGTTTATGTTGTATCATTTATATTTTGCATTTTTTTCCTGAAAGGGAGGAAAAGAAATTGTTTTGTGAACATTTCCTCTCTCTCTCCATTGAATATGCAACCCAACTTTTTTTCACGACAATGGTGTAAATACCTTTTAAGTACTTCTTACGGCACATTTTTCAATATGGTTGAGCAAAAACTTCATAACTGTATACTGATACGTGACCACTAAATAAATTTCTTTTATGGAACGCTTGGGCATTATTTTATGCTTGTACCTATACAACATATTTATATTCTTGCTTGCTTTATAAAGCTGAGTCCGAATGCCAAGCAATTAAAAATATTCAGAGAAGCCCACTGAGAATAGCCTTGTTGCTCAAATACTCACAGAAACATCTGTGTTCATGCAGGGAAGAGACCGATTATCCAGAAGAGGTTCAGCCAAACCCCAAACTAGAGGGGGATTATATGACATTTACATTCTTCTCCATGGGGAATGTACAGGTAGTTCTTGACTTATAACTGGTCACTTACTGACCATTCAAAGTTGTGATGGACCCTCCCAAAAAAGGTACTTGAATTCAGTTACGATGGATGTTCTCTCTGGTCATAGGATTGACAACCTGCCTGCATTTATGTCCATTTGTAGTACCCATAGTCACACGACTACAATTTTATTCATTTACAATATTCTTTGTTTGAAACTGGCACCTACTTCCAGTTTCTGGCAAAAAACCCTATAATGGACAATGGTTCATTTAACATTCACTTAATGACTGCTGCAGCTGCAAAAAATGTAAAATCTGTTCCTATGATGGCTCACTTAACGACTTAGCATGACTTAACGGCTGTAATTCCAGGCTCAATTACAATTGTAAGGTGGGGACCATCTGTGTTTGCACGGTTTTCTTCCTAAGCTCTGTAGTAGGGAAGGAGAACAACAGAGTAGGAAGGAGTAAGTAATACAGGTAGTCCTCAATTTATGACCACCATTAATCCCAGAACTTAAGTTGCTAAGTGAGAAATTGGTTACGTGAGATTTGCCATATTTGTTAAGTGAATCACTGCAATTGTTATATTAGTAACACAGTTGTTAAGTGAATCATGCTTCCCCACTGACTTTGCTTGACAGAAGGTCGCCAAAGATGGTCACATGACCCCAGGACCCTGCAACCATCATAAATATGAACCAGTTGTCAAGCAGCCAAATGTAAATCAGGTCAACCATGGGGTTGCTGCAATGGTCGTAAGTGTACAAAAATGGTCTCAATGCTGTTGTAACTTCGGTCATTAAATGAACTGTTGTAAGTTGAGGACTACCTGTACTGATCTGGATTTGGGCCTCAGTAAAGGACATGTGTCTGAGGAAAATCTGAATTAAATACCTAAAGGTTTAGATACAAAGCAGAGATTTCCTTGATCTGGACAGGATTATCTTCATTGGTAGAGGTGATATTCAGCCGGTTCAGACCGGTTCTGGCATACCAGTAGCGGAAATTTTGAGTAGTTCGGAAAAACCAGCAAATACCACCTCGGACTGGCCCCGCCCTACCACCCCTGCCATTCTGTCCTGTATTCCCTAGTATTTTAGCTCAGCTGATTCACGAGGCAGAGCAGATTGCCACGCCTCAGCTGAGCTAAAAAACAGCTCACCTCACCAGCGCTGACAGAAGGTGTTTTTTGATTGCTGAGCCATGCGCGAAGCTTGCACAAAGCACGCTCTCATAGGAAGAAATTTGGAATCCCACCACTGTTCATTGGCATACCTCAGAAACTGAAAAGATATTGAACGAGTTATCAACCGTAAAAAATAAAAGTTGACTTTTCCCCTCACAGATGCACACTTAGGGCAACCACCTAAGCTGAAGCTACTTTCAGACACAAGTCTTTTACTTCAGTCATAGATTTTATTTAAAGGCAAGACATGCACAAGGCAACAATCCTATATGGACATTGACTACATCGGCAATATGGAGCCACTCTCCATTAGCATCCAGACTGGGAAAGGATTTATAAGCTCAATACGCGAGAATTTGAATACCGTGTCTGATTTTTCCTATGTGGATTGTATATAGCGGATTTTGAGGAACAAGCTATTTGTTTGTGTGTAACACCAAGCCCTTTCCACCTGGAACACAACAGCAAGCCCGATTCTAACAACACCTTCAAGTATTGGAAGGGCTGCCCACAACACACATACAGGGGGCATCAAATTACGGGATTAGATATTGCAGGGGTGTCAAACTGGATTTCTTTGAGGGCTGGATCACCATTGTAAGTTCTCCTTCACGGGCTGGGTGGTGGTGGAAGAGACGGGACGGACACCTCCTGTAGCACCCTGCCATCCAAGATGGGGCAGGGGAGGGGCCGCGTGCTGCCCCCCCCGCACCCTGTTTTCAGTCTAAACCACCTCTGCAGCATTTCACCAGCCGAAACGGGGCACGGGAGGGGCACACATGGCAGTCCACACACCCCACCCCCCCGTGCCCTGTTTTTGCCGGTAAAGTTCATCCAGGCCAAAAACGGTGCAGGGGGCCGCGTAGAGTCTCTCCACGCCCCGTTTTGCCTGCCAGAGGCACCTCAGGCGGGTCCAATGCTATTTCCACTTAAGCACCTCACGGGCCAAATCCGTCCCACAGGCCTTGAGTTTGATACCTGTGAGACATTGTGGGTTTGTTCCATTGTAAGACTCCAGGCAGCCTACTAGATTCTCTGGACATTTCCAATTAAACTGGGATGACATCTTATGATTTCAGTACTTTATCCAGCTTTGCAGTTGTGACAACAACAAGCCCATTTTCCAAGCAAGGTTGTAACTCCAAAACAGGCTGGCCAAATGGAAAAAAATATTGCATTCAACAGGATTTTGGGACTGTTCCCCCTTCCATCCTTGGTGAAAAGGAGTAGGTTTTGGGGAAGCAAAACATTACTTGCTAGCAGAACATAAAATGTGCAACGTGCTGAAGAGACAAAAACTTCTGTTTTGGATTGCTGAAACACCTAGGAGCCTTGAAAAACCAACCAAACAGAAAGGAAGAGCTGCTGACATTGAGACATGCTTACCACTCTTGAAATGCTGCACATAAAAGGAACAAGTGAAGTCACACAAAACAATTAGGTCTCCATTACACCTTCGAGTGCAACAGGTAAAGTACTAACCTGCAGGATTTAGAATGCAATTTCCCAGCAATTTTTCCTAGCCAAAAAAAAGCATCCCCTTCCCCCAGGTTAAGTAGGACAACCTTTGAGCAATCATGCAAAGGATCAATCATGCCTTCCACATGCAAACATGTTCCAGTTGGCACATAGATGTTCTTACTAGCTTGCATGTGCGGTTTAATTCATGGTGCCTGTGCTGCTTTTTCCTTCCCTTTCCAAGACCAATCAATTCAGAGAGCTCAGCTTGCAACATTTTTCAATTATAAATAGTCTGGATTTCCCCTATGTTTACTACAAAGAAGAGAAGACTTAAAAAACCTGCAATCAAGTGTGATGCGAATAAGAGATGAGAGTTTGTAGTATATGTACCCAAGACACATCCCTTAAATAAACTCTTCATTGCTGCCCCTTTGAACTGAATGGGAGGGTGGTATTTGCATCCTACCAGTTGACCTCAAAAAGACAGGAGAATCTTCTCTTGAGTTCTTGATTCTTCCGTTTGCAAATCCAAAGGGAAACCAAGTCAACCCCTCGAGAGCTTCACTTTGCTACTATCAAAGAACTGGCAATTTTCCACCAGGTTCAATTGTGTCTCATCAGGGGAGTCAGGGGCCCAATATTTCTGTTTTCGAGACTCTTGATCGCTGGCAGGAAAGACGATAAACGGTAAGGATGACTTTCTCGGCGGCTCCTCTTTTTCCGCATCCCTTCCTGAATCCTAGGTGCAAATTTTAAGCAGAGGATGGCAGGAACAATTCGCTGAAAGAGGTTATGAGTCTGTAATACGATTTCTCATCGTCTGTCAGTCCTGCATTGCCTGGCCGGATTACGACAGCCACATGCATGTCTGCTTCTTCGGCTGCATCTGCTTCTAAGGGACGCAAAGAGAGGCTCATTAGACAATAGCAACAGCACTTAGACTTAACTTCACAGTGCTTTACAGCCCTCTCTAAGCAGTTTACCGAGTCAGCCTCTTGCCCACCCCCCCACACAATCTGGGTCCTCATTTTACCCACCTTGGAAGGCTGGAAGGCTGAGTCAACCTTGAGCCTGGTGGGATTCGAACTGCCAAATTGCAAGCAGCAGAAGTAGCCTGCAAGTACTGCACTCTAACCACGGTGCCACCATGGCTCATGTCTGGACAGCACTGAACCGTCTACTTCTGGGGTATTTACCTGTTCGGTCCAGGTACATATAATCTTCCACTTACAACCTCAACGGAGCCCAACATTTCTGTGGCTAAGCAAGGTATTTCTTAAGTGAATTTTGCCCCATTTTACGACTTTTCTTACCACGGTTATTAAGTGAATTTTTGCGGTTGTTTAATTAGTAACACAGTTGCAAAGTGAATCGGGCTGGCTGAGGAATTCTGGGAGTTGAAGTCCACAAGTCTTAAAGTTGCCAAGGTTGAAGGCCCCTGCTACAGTAAGTCAGACTATATGTAAAGCAGGGGTCCCCAACCACCGGTCCGCGGACCGGTACCGGTCAGTGGAACAAGTCCTACCGGGCCGCTGGCTTGCTGGGCGCCGCCATCTTTTTTTGATGAAAAAGTGCTTCCGGTGAGCTTTTCCGGGTAGAAAGCTCACCGGAAGCACCTTTTCATCAAAAAAAGATGACGGCGCCAGCGCTTCCGGTGAGCTTTTCCGGGTAGAAAGCCATTTCTACCGGGACAGGGTCGCCGGCTGGGCTGGCGCCGCCATCTTTTTTTTGATGAAAAAGTGCTTCCGGTGAGGTCACCGGAAGCACTTTTTCATCAAAAAAAGATAGCGGCGCCCAGCTAATGCCGGTACCGGGCCACGGCGTAAAAAAGGTTGGGGATCACTGATGTAAAGGGCTTATTTATAAAGCTGGTGTGTGTGTGTGTGTGTGTGTGAAAGCACCTGGTAAAAAAAATATCCGTATATTCAAACCATTTCAGGCAATAATTTGGGGAGGGGAGAGCGGAATGCTTCATTGGACAGCCCCATCAGAAAATCTACCCTCAGAAACAATCCTGTTACTCTCAAGTTTGCAAGGTTTTTTTTTTTAAAAATGTGAGAATTAACTAAAACAGAGATATTCCTCCCTCTTTTTTTTTTTGCAATTTCTA